AGTGAGTGTGAGTGAGTGTGAGTGTGAGTGAGTGAGTGTGAGTGAGTGAGTGTGAGTGAGTGTGAGTGAGTGTGAGTGAGTGAGTGAGTGTGAGTGAGTGTGAGTGAGTGTGAGTGAGTGAGTGTGAGTGAGTGAGTGTGAGTGTGAGTGAGTGTGAGTGAGTGTGAGTGAGTGAGAGTGAGTGTGAGCGAGTGAGTGTGAGTGAGTGAGTGTGAGTGAGTGTGAGCGAGTGAGTGTGAGCGAGTGAGTGTGAGTGAGTGAGTGTGAGTGAGTGAGTGTGAGCGAGTGAGTGTGAGTGAGTGTGAGTGAGTGTGAGTGAGTGAGTGTGAGTGAGAGTGAGTGTGAGTGAGTGTGAGTGAGTGAGTGTGAGTGAGTGAGTGAGTGTGAGTGAGTGTGAGTGAGTGTGAGTGAGTGAGTGTGAGTGAGTGTGAGTGAGTGTGAGTGAGTGAGTGTGAGTGAGTGTGAGTGAGTGAGTGTGAGTGAGTGTGAGTGAGTGAATGAGTGTGAGTGAGTGTGAGTGAGTGAGTGTGAGTGAGTGTGTGTGAGTGAGTGAGTGTGAGTGAGTGAGTGTGAGTGAGTGAGTGTGAGTGAGTGTGAGTGAGTGTGAGTGAGTGTGAGCGAGTGTGAGTGAGTGAGTGAGTGTGAGTGAGTGAGTGTGAGTGAGTGAGTGTGAGCGAGTGTGAGCGAGTGAGTGTGAGTGAGTGTGAGTGAGTGTGAGCGAGTGAGTGAGTGTGAGTGAGCGTGAGTGAGTGAGAGTGAGTGTGAGTGAGTGAGTGTGAGTGAGTGAGTGAGTGTGAGTGAGTGAGTGAGTGTGAGTGAGTGTGAGTGAGTGAGTGTGAGTGAGTGTGAGTGAGTGAGTGTGAGTGAGCGTGAGTGAGTGTGAGTGAGTGTGAGTGAGTGGGTGTGAGTGAGTGAGTGAGAGTGAGTGTGAGTGAGTGTGAGTGAGTGGGTGAGTGTGAGTGAGTGAGTGAGAGTGAGTGAGTGTGAGTGAGTGAGTGAGTGTGAGTGAGTGTGAGTGAGAGTGAGTGTGAGTGAGTGTGAGTGAGTGAGTGTGAGTGAGTGAGTGTGAGTGTGAGTGAGTGAGTGTGAGTGAGTGTGAGTGATTGTGAGTGAGTGTGAGTGAGTGAGTGTGAGTGAGTGAGTGTGAGTGAGTGTGAGTGAGTGTGAGTGAGTGAGTGAGTGTGAGTGTGAGTGAGTGAGTGTGAGTGAGTGAGTGAGTGTGAGTGAGTGTGAGTGAGTGTGAGTGAGTGAGTGTGTGAGTGAGTGTGAGTGAGTGTGAGTGAGTGAGTGAGTGTGAGTGAGTGTGAGTGAGTGAGTGTGAGTGAGTGTGAGTGAGTGTGAGTGAGTGAGTGAGTGTGAGTGAGTGTGAGTGAGTGTGAGCGAGTGTGAGTGAGAGTGTGAGTGAGTGAGAGTGTGAGTGAGTGTGAGTAAGTGTGAGTGAGTGTGAGTGAGTGTGAGCGAGTGAGTGAGTGTGAGTGAGTGTGAGTGAGTGTGAGTGAGTGTGAGTGAGTGTGAGTGAGTGAGTGAGTGTGAGTGAGTGTGAGTGAGAGTGAGTGTGAGTGAGTGTGAGCGAGTGTGAGTGAGTGAGAGTGTGAGTGAGTGTGAGTGAGTGAGAGTGTGAGTGAGTGTGAGTGAGTGTGAGTGTGTGAGTGTGAGTGAGTGAGTGAGTGTGAGTGAGTGTGAGTGAGTGTGTGAGTGAGTGTGAGTGAGTGAGTGAGTGTGAGTGAGTGAGAGTGAGTGTGAGTGAGAGTGAGTGTGAGTGAGTGAGTGTGAGAGTGTGAGTGAGTGAGTGAGAGTGTGAGTGAGTGTGAGTGGGTGTGAGTGTGTGTGAGTGGGTGTGAGTGTGAGTGAGTGAGTGTGAGTGAGTGAGTGTGAGTGAGTGTGAGTGAGTGTGAGCGAGTGTGAGCGAGTGTGAGTGAGAGTGTGAGTGAGAGTGTGAGTGAGTGAGAGTGTGAGTGAGTGTGAGTAAGTGTGAGTGAGTGTGAGTGAGTGTGAGCGAGTGAGTGAGTGTGAGTGAGTGAGAGTGAGTGTGAGTGAGTGTGAGTGAGTGTGAGTGAGTGAGTGAGTGTGAGTGAGAGTGAGTGTGAGTGAGTGTGAGCGAGTGTGAGTGAGTGAGAGTGTGAGTGAGTGTGAGTGAGTGAGAGTGTGAGTGAGTGTGAGTGTGTGAGTGTGTGAGTGTGAGTGAGTGTGAGTGAGTGTGAGAGTGTGAGTGAGTGAGTGAGAGTGTGAGTGAGTGTGAGTGGGTGTGAGTGTGAGTGAGTGTGAGTGAGTGTGAGTGGGTGTGAGTGTGAGTGAGTGAGAGTGAGTTAGTGAGTGAGTGAGTGAGAGTGAGTGAGTGAGTGTGAGTGAGTGAGTGTGAGTGAGTGTGAGTGAGTGAGTGTGAGTGAGTGTGAGTGAGTGTGAGTGTGAGTGAGTGAGTGTGAGTGAGTGTGAGTGAGTGTGAGTGAGTGTGAGTGAGTGAGTGTGAGTGTGAGTGAGTGTGAGTGAGTGAGTGTGAGTGAGTGAGTGTGAGTGAGTGAGTGTGAATGAGTGAGTGTGAATGAGTGAGTGAGAGTGAGTGTGAGTGAGTGAGTGTGAGTGAGTGTGAGTGAGTGAGTGTGAATGAGTGAGTGTGAGTGAGTGTGAGTGAGTGAGTGTGAGTGAGTGAGTGTGAGTGAGTGAGTGTGAATGAGTGAGTGTGAGTGAGTGTGAGTGAGTGAGTGTGAATGAGTGAGTGTGAGTGAGTGTGAGTGAGTGAGTGTGAGTGAGTGTGAGTGAGTGTGAGTGAGTGAGTGTGAGTGAGTGTGAGTGAGTGAGTGAGTGTGAGTGAGTGAGTGTGAGTGAGTGTGAGCGAGTGTGAGTGAGTGTGAGTGAGTGAGTGTGAGTGAGTGAGTGTGAGTGAGTGTGAGCGAGTGAGTGAGTGTGAGTGAGTGTGAGCGAGTGAGTGTGAGTGAGTGTGAGCGAGTGAGTGTGAGTGAGTGTGAGTGAGTGTGAGCGAGTGAGTGAGTGTGAGTGAGCGTGAGTGAGTGAGAGTGAGTGTGAGTGAGTGAGTGAGTGTGAGTGAGTGAGTGTGAGTGAGTGTGAGTGAGTGAGTGTGAGTGAGTGTGAGTGAGTGAGTGTGAGTGAGTGTGAGTGAGTGAGTGTGAGTGAGTGTGAGTGAGTGTGAGTGAGTGTGAGTGAGTGGGTGTGAGTGAGAGTGAGTGTGAGTGAGTGTGAGAGAGTGAGTGTGAGTGAGTGGGTGAGTGTGAGTGAGTGAGTGAGAGTGAGTGAGTGTGAGTGAGTGAGTGAGAGTGAGTGAGTGTGAGTGAGAGTGAGTGAGAGTGAGTGTGAGTAAGTGTGAGTGAGTGTGAGTGAGTGTGAGCGAGTGAGTGAGTGTGAGTGAGTGTGAGTGAGTGTGAGTAAGTGTGAGTGAGTGTGAGTGAGTGTGAGTGAGTGAGTGTGAGTGAGTGAGTGAGTGTGAATGTGTGAGTGAGTGAGTGTGAGTGAGTGAGTGAGTGTGAGTGAGTGAGTGTGAGTGAGTGAGTGTGAGTGAGTGAGTGTGAATGAGTGAGTGTGAGTGAGTGTGAGTGAGTGAGTGTGAATGAGTGAGTGTGAGTGAGTGAGTGAGAGTGAGTGAGTGTGAGTGAGAGTGAGTGAGAGTGAGTGTGAGTAAGTGTGAGTGAGTGTGAGTGAGTGTGAGCGAGTGAGTGAGTGTGAGTGAGTGTGAGTGAGTGTGAGTAAGTGTGAGTGAGTGTGAGTGAGTGTGAGTGAGTGAGTGTGAGTGAGTGAGTGAGTGTGAATGTGTGAGTGAGTGAGTGTGAGTGAGTGAGTGAGTGTGAGTGAGTGAGTGTGAGTGAGTGAGTGTGAGTGAGTGAGTGTGAATGAGTGAGTGTGAGTGAGTGTGAGTGAGTGAGTGTGAATGAGTGAGTGTGAGTGAGTGTGAGTGAGTGAGTGTGAGTGAGTGTGAGTGAGTGTGAGTGAGTGAGTGTGAGTGAGTGAGTGAGTGTGAGTGAGTGAGTGTGAGTGAGTGTGAGCGAGTGTGAGTGAGTGTGAGTGAGTGAGTGTGAGTGAGTGAGTGTGAGTGAGTGTGAGCGAGTGAGTGAGTGTGAGTGAGTGTGAGTGAGTGAGTGTGAGTGAGTGTGAGCGAGTGAGTGTGAGTGAGTGTGAGTGAGTGTGAGCGAGTGAGTGAGTGTGAGTGAGCGTGAGTGAGTGAGAGTGAGTGTGAGTGAGTGAGTGAGTGTGAGTGAGTGAGTGTGAGTGAGTGTGAGTGAGTGAGTGTGAGTGAGTGTGAGTGAGTGAGTGTGAGTGAGTGTGAGTGAGTGAGTGTGAGTGAGCGTGAGTGAGTGTGAGTGAGTGTGAGTGAGTGGGTGTGAGTGAGAGTGAGTGTGAGTGAGTGTGAGCGAGTGAGTGTGAGTGAGTGGGTGAGTGTGAGTGAGTGAGTGAGAGTGAGTGAGTGTGAGTGAGTGAGTGAGAGTGAGTGAGTGTGAGTGAGAGTGAGTGAGAGTGAGTGTGAGTGAGTGAGTGAGTGTGAATGTGTGAGTGAGTGAGTGTGAGTGAGTGAGTGTGAGTGAGTGTGAGTGAGTGAGTGTGAGTGAGTGTGAGTGAGTGAGTGTGAGTGAGCGTGAGTGAGTGTGAGTGAGTGTGAGTGAGTGGGTGTGAGTGAGAGTGAGTGTGAGTGAGTGTGAGCGAGTGAGTGTGAGTGAGTGGGTGAGTGTGAGTGAGTGAGTGAGAGTGAGTGAGTGTGAGTGAGTGAGTGAGAGTGAGTGAGTGTGAGTGAGAGTGAGTGAGAGTGAGTGTGAGTAAGTGTGAGTGAGTGTGAGTGAGTGTGAGCGAGTGAGTGAGTGTGAGTGAGTGTGAGTGAGTGTGAGTAAGTGTGAGTGAGTGTGAGTGAGTGTGAGTGAGTGAGTGTGAGTGAGTGAGTGAGTGTGAATGTGTGAGTGAGTGAGTGTGAGTGAGTGAGTGTGAATGAGTGAGTGTGAGTGAGTGAGTGTGAGTGAGTGTGAGTGAGTGTGAGTGAGTGAGTGTGAGTGAGCGTCTCTCACCCAGTTGCCGTAGTGCGCTAGCCTTGACCGTGGCTGGGAGGTTGTCCGTCTGCAGGAGGTGTTCATACGCCTCCTTGGCTGCACGGTACTTGTGCTGCTCACGCAGGGGGGACACGTGGGGGGGGGGGGGGGACACGTGGGGGTGAGAGAGGGGGGGGTGAGAGGGGGGGGGGGTGAGAGAGGGGGGGGGTGAACACGGGGAGGGCACACGGAGGAATCGGCGCCGACCAACGCGGCTCCCCGCCTCGTCTACAACAGGAGCCGGGTCCCCAGCGGGTCCCCAGTGGGTCCCCAGCCGGGTCCCCAGTGGGTCCCCAGCCGGGTCCCCAGTGGGTCCCCAGCCGGTCCCCAGGGGGTCCCCAGCGGGTCCCCAGCCGGGTCCCCAGCGGGTCCCCAGCGGCCGTTGCGGGCGGCACGGTGACGGGGGGGGGGGGCACCGCACCCTCACCACCCCCTGCCACCAACCAGGCAGGTGGAGAGAGAGCGCGAGAGAGAGGGCGAGAGAGAGACAGAGAGAGCGAGAGAGGGGGGTAGAGAGAGCGAGACAGAGAGGGCGAGAGAGGGGTAGAGAGCGAGGGGGGGGGGGGTAGAGAGAGAGCGAGAGAGAGAGGAGGTCCGGATGACCCAGGTCAACGCGACCTGCCCAGCCAAGCAGCAGCAACAACAACAGCCCACACAGCCCACACCACCACCACAGCCCCCACCACCACCACCACCACAGCCCCCACCACCACCACCACAGCCCCCACCACCACCACCACAGCCCCCACCACCACAGCCCCCACCACCACAGCCCCCACCACCACAGCCCCCACCACCACCACCACAGCCCCCACCACCACCACCACAGCCCCCACCACCACCACCACCGCCGCACAAACAACGCGAGGGCCCAGGGCCAAGCGGCACGCCACGCTGGGACGGACGCCAATAAATAAACGATACAAAATAATAAAAATAACGCCAAGGCACAGAAACTGCGCGTAGCCCACACGGGGCTACACAAACTACACAAACTACACGGGGCTACACAAACTACACAAACTACACAGGGCTACACAAACTACACAAACTACACGGGGCTACACAAACTACACAAACTACACGGGGCTACACAAACTACACAAACTACACAGGGCTACACAAACTACACAAACTACACGGGGCTACACAGGGCTACACAAACTACACGTGCTACACAAACTACACGGGGCTACACAGGGCTACACAAACTACACGTGCTACACAAACTACACGGGGCTACACAGGGCTACACAAACTACACAGGGCTACACAAACTACACAAACTACACGGGGCTACACAAACTACACGGGGCTACACAGGGCTACACAAACTACACGGGCTACACAAACTACACGGGGCTACACAAACTACACGGGGCTACACAAACTACACGTGCTACACAAACTACACGGGGCTACACAAACTACACGTGCTACACAAACTACACGTGCTACACAAACTACACGTGCTACACAAGCTACGTAGGGCTACACAAACTACACAAGCCACACAAACTACACAAGCTACACGGGGCTACACAAGCTACACAAACTACACAAACTACACAAGCTACACGTGCTACACAAACTACACAAGCTTGTGTAGCCCGTGTAGTAGGGTCAGTTTTGATGACCCTATTAGTAGGGTCATCAAAAATGACCCTACTAATAGCCTAACTATAAAAACCAACAAGATCATCACAAGTTCGACCTCCCTAATCGAACCAACTAAACGTCCCTCCCTAAAACCTTCTGCTGCAAGACCACCTAGATTCTATGGGCTTCCAAAGATTCATAAGGAAGGCACTCCACTGCGACCCATCGTATCCACGATCAACTCCCCTAGCTATAAGCTGGCACGTTTTCTGTCGGATACCTTGCTACCTTTCACTGGCAAGACCTCCTCAGCAGTACTTAACTCGGCCCAATTGGTTTCTATGGTCAAGGACGTTGTTCTGTCCCCTGACGATATCCTTGTCAGCTTCGATGTGGTCTCCTTGTTCCCCAAGGTCCCGGTACCTGATACCATTGATATAATTGAAAATTTGGTACATGGACTAAACCCTGAGGTACCTACTCTGGTCAGGCACTGCCTCACCAACACCTACTTTACTTGGAATGGTTCCTTCTACAAGCAAAATGAGGGTACTCCCATGGGTTCCCCCTTGTCATCAGTGATAGCCAATGTTTTCATGGAGAAATTTGAATCGGACGCCATCCAGACTTCCACCCTCAGACCTTCTCTGTGGAAGAGATATGTGGATGACACTTTCGTCATTTGGCCACATGGCCTCCCAGCTCTGAAGCTTTTCCTACACCACATCAATTCCAGACATCCCGCCATCAAATTCACCATGGAAGTGGAGAAGGATTGCAGGCTACCATTCTTGGATGTTCTGTTTGAGAGGAGACCTGATGGCTCGTTGGGGCATTCTGTCTACAGGAAACCCACCCACACGGATTCCTACTTGAAGCCTGATTCCCACCACCACCCAGCTCAGAAGAATTCTCTCATCAAAACTTTATACCATAGGGCTCATTGCATTTCGGACCAACACCACCTGACCAGTGAATTAAAACATGTACATCTGACCCTAAAAAGGAATGGATACTCTGACCGTACCATCCGCCAAGCTGTTTCTCCCTCCATACAGAAACAACCACTTGATACTCGGGTCAAAACCATCACACTACCATATATAGCAGGCGTTACAAAAAAGATTTCCAAAATTATAAACAAACACAAGATCCTGGTCCGCTTCAATACAGTACACAAAATTCGTGATCTGATCCCATCCGTGAAGGATGTCATTCCTGACTTACAGTACCCCGGGGTTTACAAATTGAGTTGTACCTGCGGTGATTGCTATATCGGGGAGACGAAGCGACATGTCTCTGACCGAATTCGCGAGCACAAATCAGATTTTAAAACACGGCAGAACGAATTCTTCTGCCTTAGCTGATCACTGTTACAACGCTGTGGTTGATCACGATAGAATTTTCTCCGATACCAAGGTTCTTTGCAAACCCACGGGTTTTTATCAGAGATTTGTTCACGAGGCAATTCAGATCTACAAACACGGACACAATTTCAACCGAGAAGATGGTTTCAAATTAAGCAACCATTGGAAAGATGTTCTAAATCGAACCAAACATTAAACTAATTTTCAATGGTACGGTATATTTTTCAAGTAGTGGTACCCCAAACTTTCGCAGCTTCTTAAAATCCCCTTTTCACACCACCAGCATGTGGACGCTGCCGTGCCACCTCGCCAGCCTGCACAGGTCGACCCCCTCCCTACCTTTCATCATGCTAAGTCCGCCTATTAAAATGCAAATTTTTATGCTAATTCCTTTGTCAAGGCACCTTAATTCCTCTCACACAGCTTAAAGGTCGCGGTCTGAGCGTGGCTGTGTTTCACTCCAGCCCTGTCCTCGAGACAGTCTGGTCCCTTCACCTGATGAAGGCCACTTGTGTTGTGGCTGAAACGTCGTGATTTTTGTTGTTTTATTTTTTACCTACTACGTGGTGACTTTACCCAATAGAACCAAAGAGTAAAGCTACACAAGCTACACGGACTACACAAACTACACAAGCTACATGATGCTACGTAGGGCTACACAAGCTACACAAACTACACAAGCTACACGGACTACACGGACTACACAAGCTACATGATGCTATGTAGGGCTACACAAGGACTACACGGACTACACAATGCTACGTAGGACTACACGGACTACACGGACTAGACAATGCTACACAAGGACTACACGGACTAGACAATGCTACGTAGGGCTACAAGGACTACATGGACTAGACAATGCTACGTAGGGCTACACACGGACTACACGGACTAGACAATGCTATGTAGGGCTACACAAGGACTACACAGACAACATGGACAATACAATGTTACGTAGGGCTACACAAGGACTACACGGACTAGACAATGCTACGTAGGGCTACACAAGGACTACACGGACTAGACAATGCTACGTAGGGCTACACGGACTACACAAGGACTAGACAATGCTACGTAGGGCTACACAAGGACTACACGGACTATACGATGCTGCGTAGGGCTACACACGGACTACACGGACTAGACAATGCTACGTAGGGCTACACAAGGACTACACAATGCTACGTAGGACTACACGGACTACACGGACTATACAATGCTACGTAGGGCTACACACGGACTACACAGACTACACGGACTAGACAATGCTACGTAGGGCTACACAAGGACTACATGGACTATACGATGCTACGTAGGGCTACACAAGGACTACACGGACTACACAATGTTACGTAGGGCTACACAAGGACTACACAAGGACTATACGATGCTACGTAGGGCTACACAAGGACTACACAAGGACTACACGGACTATACAATGCTACGTAGGGCTACAAGGACTACACGGACTACACAATGTTACGTAGGGCTACACAAGGACTACACAAGGACTATACGATGCTACGTAGGGCTACACACGGACTACACGGACTAGACAATGCTACGTAGGGCTACACAAGGACTACACGGACTAGACAATGCTACGTAGGGCTACACGGACTACACGGACTATACAATGCTACGTAGGGCTACACAAGCTACATGATGCTACGTAGGGCTACACGGACTACACGGACTATACAATGCTACGTAGGGCTACACAAGGACTACACAAGGACTACACGGACTAGACAATGCTACGTAGGGCTACACAAGGACTACACAAGGACTACACGGACTAGACAATGCTACGTAGGGCTACACAAGGACTACACAAGGACTACACGGACTAGGCAATGCTACGTAGGGCTACACAAGGACTACATGGACTATACGATGCTACGTAGGGCTACACGGACGACACAAGGGCTACACAAGGGCTACACAAGGACTATACGATGCTACGTAGGGCTACAAGGACTACACAAGGACTACACGGACTAGACAATGCTACGTAGGGCTACACAAGGACTACATGGACTAGACAATGCTACACGAGGACTACACAAGGACTACACGGACTACACAATGCTACGTAGGGCTACACGGACTACACAAGGACTACACAAGGACTATACGATGCTACGCTGCTACCAAGCGCTGCTCGCTATTGGTAGCAGCAGCAGCGGCGGCGGTGGCGGCTCCAAGAGTCCGGTGCACGAGGCGGGTGGGGGGGGACAGAGCGCACGTCCGGCAGGCTTCGTCTCCCCGGCGGCCACGAGATGTTGACCACCTCGCCAGGTACGCAGGAGGCCGCGGGGGTTCCATTCCGACCCCTGACGCCCGCTGCCGCCGCTGCTGCTGCTGCTGCTGTATATTTGGCGTTTGCGGCGTCTCTCTCCCCGTGGTGGTCACTGCGTGGATTTTGTCTCCGGGTCCTCCGCTTCTTCCCCCCACGTTTAGAATCAACGCCGCTGTGCGTTTACAGCATTCGGCTGCTGCTCTGCATTTCAACGCGATGATGATGACGATGATGATGACGATGATGATGACGATGATGATGACGATGATGATGACGATGATGATGACGATGATGAAGCCGCCACCGCCACGTGGCTAAGCTGCTATCATTGGTGATGGCCAGGGGTGTCGCTTCTGAACAAGAGCGACTACACAGCAACTCAGTGAGGACATCACAGCTGGTGTTATAGAACAAATAGTGAAACAGTATTCAGAGTAGTTGTGGCTGCCACTACTACTTCACATTTCTACATGGTGATGATGATGATGAAGCCACCACTGAACAAGAGCGACTTACACAGCAACTCAGCGGGGTCCTTCCACCGCATGCCGAAACAGATTTTGTTTCGGCCGGATTGAGGGGGCTAAACGGGCGCGGCACGGGCTAGAGAAGAGATGGAGTGATGTGGTACAGGAGGACGTGGAGCTGAGTAGACTTGCCGATGACTGGTACCAGCGGTGTCAAGATCGGCCTCTGTGGAGGAGCCTCGTGAAGGACGCTACTGGGCAGTTGGAGGCAGTCGCCCTCCAACAACAACAACGGAGGGCGGAGGAGCGACGCTCACAACAACGAGCGGAGCGCCGGGCGGCTAAAATGCAGCGAGTTGGCACAGTGGGGGGTACCAGTCGGAGCGTGTGCTGGTCATCTCAGTCAGCCAACCCATGGCACCTGCTGGGTCTGTCCCTAGGCCTCCTCCTGTCAGTCAGCGAGGTTTCCACACTTCACGTGGTAGCCTCAAAGTGCACCTGGCCTGGCACAGGCGCCGTGGCGAGCATTTGGTGTCTGTGTGTGTCCGTGTGTCCGTGTGTGTCCGTGTTGGCACTGACCTGAATTTCATGTAAGTGAGCGATGTGGAAACGAACTGTGGGAGAGAACGAGATACGGTGGTGTCAACGAGGCTCGGTGCTTTACCGCCACAACCACCACCACCACCACATGGCAATCACCACCACCACCACATAGCAATCACCACCACCACCACATGGCAATCACCACCACCACCACATAACAATCACCACCACCACCACATGGCAATCACCACCACATTACAATCACCACCACATGGCAATCACACCACCACATGGCAACCACCACCACATAACAACCACCACCACCACATGGCAATCCTCACCGCCACACAGCAATCACCACCACATAACAACCACCACCACTACATAGCAATCACCACATAGCAATCACCGGCACATAAAAATCACTACCACGTAACAATCACTACATAGCAACCACCACCCAGACCACCACCACCACCGACAACAACAACAACCCATCGCTCTCAATCCAACTCCCACCATTACCACCACCATCATCATCAGCACTGAATGTCACATCACTGCCGGGCACGGCCTCCCAACGTGGTGTGTAGGGGGGGGGGCACACGGGGTGGAGGGGGTGTGGGCGGGGAGGGTGGGAGGAGGGTGGGGGGAGGGTGGGGGGAGGGTGGGGTGGGGGGTGAGGACTCACTCTCGGCTTTGGAGAGCGAGCACGGGCTGGAGTCGATGAGCGCCAGCTGGAAATGCTGCAACCGCAACACACACACACAGACACACACACAGACACACACAGACAGACACACACACACAGACACACACACAGACACACAGACAGACACACACACAGACACACACAGACACACACAGACACACACACACACAGACACACACACAGACACACAGACAGACAGACACACAGACAGACAGACACACACACACAGACACACACAGACAGACACACAGACAGACACACAGACAGACACACACACAGAGACACACACGCAGACAGACACACACATACGTAGACACAGAGAGACACACACAGACAGACACACACACATTAGACACAGAGCTACATGCACGCAGACACATCACGTGAACTCCAGTCAACCTCGCAGCAGCAGCGGCGGCGCTTTCAGATGCGCTTCCACTCTCTTCCTTCCGACATTAAGAAGCCACTGGGAGATAATACCACCTGTCAATCTTCACCATCATCTTGAGTGACAAACTCATTTCTTTACAAATGCGTTTTGTGCTTAGTTTGTTATCCATCCCCCCCACCCTCCGATGAGCACGGCTGGCTACGTACGGTGCTAAAGAAGTGCAACATACACACGCAAACATTCAAGCGCCACCGTGGCAATGAGATGTTGACTACCTCGCCTGGTGTGCAGGAGGTCGTGGGTTCGATCCCTAACCCTGGTGACGCCTGCTGCTGCAGCTGTATATTTGGAGTCTGCGTCTCTCTCTCATCATCATCATCACGGTGGCTAGGAGATGTTGACTACCTCGCCTGGTATACAGGAGGTCGTGGGTTCGATCCCGACCCTGATGCCTGCTGCTGCTGCCGCTGTATATTTGGAGTCTGCGTCTCTCTCTCTCCCCGTGGTGGTCACGTGGATTTTTCTCCGGGTCCTCCGGTTTATCCCTCCACATTTATAACCGACATCACGGTGCGTTCAGAGCATTTGGCTGCTATAAATGTCCACGTGATGATGATGATCATCACCATAAGCCGCTATTTGGTTGAGCTATTGTTTGTGGCGGCCACGTGGTCGCTTCTGACAAGAGAGCAACTCCATAGCAGCTCGGTGGGGCCCTTACCTGGTAAAATAAAAACTGTAGTTTATACGTTGAATGGTTTATAGCTTTAGATTGCTTTAACACAGAGGCTTTCGCGATCGATATTATCCATGAGAGGTTTTTTTGGGTTAGATCGTGTAAATATAAATGTTGTGTCGTTTAAACCCGCCACCACCCGACACAGCCAGCCAGTAATGGGTTTGTCACGTAAACAGAACGTGGACAATTCGTCACTAGTACAGCACTAACCGGTTGCTGTGTGTTGGAGAGTTAAACCCACTATTACATTTACAATTCGTTACTAGTACAGCACTAACCGGTTGCTGTGTGTTGGAGAGTTAAACCCACTACTACATTTACAATTCGTTACTGGTACAGCACTAACCGGTTGCTGTGTTGGAGAGTTAAACCCACTACAATATTTACAATTCGTTACTAGTACAGCCCTAACCGGTTGCTGTGTGTTGGAGAGTTAAACCCACTACTACATTTACAATTCGTCACTAGTACAGCACTAACCGGTTGCTGTGTGTTGGAGAGTTAAACCCACTACTACATTCACAATTCGTTGCTAGTACAGCACTAACCGGTAGCTGTGTGTTGGAGAGTTAAACCCACTACTACATTTACAATTCGTTACTACTACAGGACTAACCGGTTGCTGTGTGTTGGAGAGTTAAACCCACTACAACATTTACAATTCGTTACTAGTACAGCACTAACCGGTTGCTGTGTGTTGGAGAGTTAAACACACTACAACATTTACAATTCGTTACTAGTACAGCACTAACCGGTTGCTGTGTGTTGGAGAGTTAAACCCACTACAACATTTACAATTCGAGTACCCAGTGTTGTTGTAATTACAACAACAACCACAACAACCACAACAACAACCAGCAGCATCGTCATCACGGAGAGTTTTGGATAATTTGGCCGCGATGAATGTTCACGTGGTGACGGCGAGCCGCCAACCCCGCTGGGCTGTGGTTTGTGATGGCGAAGGCGTCGCTGCTGACAAAAGGAGCTGCTTGCGATGTAAGGCGGCAGCACGGTTGGGGCCCTGACACGCGACTCAAGATGCAATCAGAGTCTCGAGCTGTCGCTGACACCACGTGGGGATGGGGTGGCGGTGGCGGTGTCATCGCGGCAGCCACTGGGGGGCAGTGGTTGGTCGCACGCAGGGAGACGTCATCTCGGTGAGATGACGTCATCTCACCGAGATGACGTCATCTCACCGAGATGACGTCTCCATCACCTATTTATTATCCACAACCTTTGTTATGGAGAGATCATTGTGGCTCAATCCCATCATCACGACTACCACCACCACTGCCATCGGCATCACCACAACCATCACTACGACCACAACCTCCACCGCCATTACCACCACCACTAACATCTCGGTGGTGAGATGTTAACTCTCTCGCCTGGTACGCAAAGAATCATTGTGGCTCAATCCCATCATCACGACTACCACTGCCATCAGCACCACCACAACCATCACTACGACCACAACCTCCACCGCCATTACCACCACGACACCTCAGTGGCTATGAGATGCTAACTCCCTCGCCCTGGTATGCAGGAGGTCGTGGGTTCGATCCCGACTCCCTGACGCCTGCTGCTGCTGCTTATTTTGAATTTGCGCCTCTTTCCCCGCGTTGGCGGGGATTTTTCTCCGGGTCTACCACGCGTAGAATCTATGCACGTTGATTCCGTGGGTCTCTGTGGGTCTCTGTGGGTCTCGGAGCCCTGGGCAGCTGTGACAAAGAGCTTTAGAACTCATCGGATTCGTCCAGTGTAAATAAATATTCTGATGCTGAGTATCGGTGTCTATGGGTCTCTGCGGGTCTATAAGAGTCTCTAGAAACATGTAAAAGTTGGGGGTATTCGGCTGCTGAAATACATTTCTACGTGATGATGATGACGATGATTAAGCCACCACCGCCACGTGGCTGAGCTGCTATAATTGGCGATGGCCAGGGGTGTCGCTTCTGAACAAGAGCGACTACAACACAGCAGCAGCTCAGCGGGGCCTTGCACCTGGTGTGTAAAATAACAAAAATAGCGACATCGTTGAGAGCTTCCGTGAGCGTCGCAAAGCATTTGTGGATCGATGCTCGGATATTGGAGTCGGCCTCTCTCCCCCCCCACCCCCCCCCCGCCACCATCGTCCGTGAACGCACAGCGACGTCGATTCTAAACGTGGAGCGGGGGAGAAAAAACCGGAGGACCCGGAGAAAAATCCACGCGACCACGGGGGCAGAGAGAGAGAGAGGAGAGCGGAGAGAGACGCGGATCGGAACCCACGGACCTCCCTGCACGCCAGGCGAGGTAGTCAACATCTCGACTAGGGGCACGAACCACCACGCCAACTCCCGTCATCCGTCGGCAGCGGCGGCTTCTGGCAAATAATTATCGGGCAGAGATGGTGGTCACTGCATCGACATTGCCGTGCGGCGCTTTTCAGACGCGCTTCCACGGCCGTCTGGAACGCTCTCTTCCGATATGAGGAAGCCTCTGGGAGCTATGACACTTTAAAATCATCATCGTCATCTAGATTGACAAACTCATTTCTTTAGAACTGCTTCTTGTTGTTGTTGTGTTTAGTTTGTCGTCCTTCCACCCCCCCCCCCGCACCTCTGATTAGCACGGTTGGCTACGTACGGTGTCAACAAAGTTCTACATGCAGAAACACGATCCCCCCTACACACTATCTCACCTACACCCTAGCCCACTCACCCACCTACACCCTACACAACACTATCCCACCTACACCCTACACAACACTATCCCACCTACACCCTAGACAACACTATCCCACCTACACCCTACACAACACTATCCCACCTACACCCTACACAACACTATCCCACCTACACCCTACACAACACTATCCCACCTACACCCTACACAACACTATCCCACCTACACCCTACACAACACTATCCCACCTACACCCTACACAACACTATCCCACCTACACCCTACACAACACTATCCCACCTACACCCTACACAACACTAACCCACCTACACCCTACACAACACTATCCCACCTACACCCTACACAACACTATCCCACCTACACCCTACACAACACTATCCCACCTACACCCTACACAACACTATCCCACCTACACCCTACACAACACTATCCTACCTACACCCTACACAACACTATCTCACCTACACCCTACACAACACTATCCCACCTACACCCTAGACAACACTATCCCACCTACACCCTACACAACACTATCCCACCTACACCCTACACAACACTATCCCACCACACCCTACACAACACTATCCCACCTACACCCTACACAACACTATCCCACCTACACCCTACACAACACTATCCTACCTACACCCTACACAACACTATCTCACCTACACCCTACACAACACTCACCCACCTACACCCTACACAACACTATCCCACCTACACCCTACACAACACTCACCCACCTACACCCTACACAACACTATCCCACCTACACCCTACACAACACTATCCCACCTACACCCTACACAACACTATCCTACCTACACCCTACACAACACTATCTCACCTACACCCTACACAACACTCACCCACCTACACCCTACACAACACTATCCCACCTACACCCTACACAACACTCACCCACCTACACCCTACACAACACTATCCCGCCTACACCCTACACAACACTATCCCACCTACACCCTAGACAACACTATCCCACCTACACCCTACACAACACTATCCCACCTACACCCTACACAACACTATCCCACCTACACCCTTCACAACACTATCCCACCTACACCCTACACAACACTATCTCACCTACACCCTAGACAACACTATCTCACCTACACCCTAGACAACACTATCTCACCTACACCCTAGACACGAGCCCACTCACAGTGAATGATTAGAGGGAGACGCACAG